CTTGAATGGTGGGAGGGACCTCTTCAATGATGACAGTGGCCTCTTGAACGGTGGGAGGGGACTCTCGAGGAATGATAGGGGGGGCCTCTTCAACGATAGGAGTGGACTCTTGAGGGATGTCAGGCGAGTCGGGCTTCTTCTTGCGGTGTCTTCGCACTATTGGGGTGTACGGAGACTTAATAGCACGTGCACGCTGTCTGATGCGTGAACTCCGTCGTGCAAGCATAACCCGACGTAAAGCATCCACTCTATCAGGCCGCTAAATAATTAAATACAAAAATCAGTAAATAAACAGACATGATATTTAAACAGTGAAAACAAAGACAAATATGTTTCAAACTTGCATTGTATTCACCCAAGTCATTATTCTATCATAGTTCACAAAATGCATCAGATAACAAAGAAAAATATGTTTCAAACTAATACCCTGAAGTTAGTATTTGTCTTTGTTTTGTCTATTGGTTGAAGTAATGCAATACATTCAAGTTTCAATTTACAGAAGAAGAAATAGTTTACTTTCGCAACACGAAACTTAAAATCGCAACGCGAAATGAAAATCGCAACGACAGAATCGCAATGCGAAATGAAAATCGCAACGAGAGAATCGCAACGCGAAATGAAAGTCGCAATGCGATTTGGTTTCACGTTGCGATTTTGTCGTGCGATTTTGGTTTCGCGTTGCGATTCTGTCGTTGCGATTTTCATTTTGCGTTGCGATTCTCTCGTTGCGATTTTAAGTTTCGTGTTGCGAAAGTAAACTATTTCTTCTTCTGCAAATTGAAACTTGAATGGATTGCATTACTTCAACCAATAGACAAAACAAAGACAAATACTGACTTCAGGGTATTAGTTTAGCAGAATTGGCAGCAACCGAACAAATTTACTTTCAACCAAAAGACAAAACAAAGACAAATACTATTTCACAGTGTTAAAGAATACACAGTTTAGCAGAATTGGCAGCAACCGAACAAATTTACTTTCAACCAAAAGACAAAACAAAGACAAATACTATTTCACAGTGTTAAAGAATACATAGTTTAGCAGAATTGGCAGCAACCGAACAAATTTACTTTCAACCAAAAGACAAAACAAAGACAAATACTATTTCACAGTGTTAAAGAATACACAGTTTAGCAGAATTGGCAGCAACCGAACAAATTTACTTTCAACCAAAAGACAAAACAAAGACAAATACTATTTCACAGTGTTAAAGAATACTATTTCACGAGTAAATTTATCATTAAGTTAAATATGGAAAATCTTAAACTTACCTCGTTGTGTAGAGTATGAACCTCATTCTGCAACGATACTATCATCTCACGTAGAGCGGCAACCTCACCACGTAAAGTTGACACCTCCACACGCCATGCACCATCGTTATCGCGTAGAGTACCGATCTCCTCACGCAAGGCATTGACCTCATCACGTAACTTATCCCGTGGAGGTGGAGAACAAGGAGATAAATGTCGTGGCCTCTTTACCGGTCGCCTATCATGAGGTGATGGTGGAGAAGAGGCTCGATGATGTGACGGGATAGGTGATGGCTCTCGTTCTAGAGGTGTATAGTCGGGTCGATCGGGTGATGGCTCTGGGTGAGGTGATGGCTCTCGAATTGGAGGAAGTGGATGCTGCTCATCATCCGTGCCATCAAAAAAACTCTGACTAGCTTGCCACCAATCAGTGGCAAGCTCTTCCTCCGTGGGTGTCAGTCTTTGTAATGGAATGTTGGCCTCCTAACAATATAAAAACTCAAACAAAGTTAAACGTCTACTATTAATAACTTGTTTATATTATATGAAAGTATTTGTGTTAACTTACATTATTTATTGTCGCATATGGTATTAAGTCTTCCCAATCCAACAGATTTTTCCTCTTCCAGGAAATAGCTCTGGGAATATCATTTGACGTTTTTATTGCATATGTACGCATGCTGGGGAAAGCCTCGAATATCCAAATCTACAAACAATATAATAACAAAATTAGTAATTGTTAAATAATTAATTATAATTTTAGAAACATTATATAGAAATTCTTACCTAAAGGCCCAAACAAAGCCTGACAAAGTGTATTTCGACCCATCGCCACGCAAACTTTTACGGTCATCAAAGGCAGTAGACAACTTAGTCCAGGTAGCTTTCCATATATACGAACCCCACGGAAACAGATTCCATGCATTCAGGTCCTCTACCAATATTATTAGCTCCCGAGGAATAGGTTGTCTGGCCTCTCTGCCTAAAAAGCTGGCATACACAAGTAGTAGAAGGCATACTCGGACAACATCGACGTCATCCATCCGAGTGAAACCAGCTTTCTTATTAAACAATTTCTTCAGGTCGTCGACGTGTAGGTTCGGCTTCTCCATTGACTCATCCGGAAAAACCCGGGATAACCATGATGGGCGGGCGATATGACGAGTGTACCGGCCTACATCATCGTGTCCGAATCGTAGACCAGTGATTAAGCAGAACTCCTTCCGCCCAAAACAAGTATACGTTGGTGGAAAATGAAACCATATCTCTTCCTCACCACGTTGTATACTGTCGGGTAGATTTGATGTCATGGTCTGAGGCCACAAATGGGTCAAATTAGCATCTCCACCCGGATGCTGTACTCTCAGCCATGGCCCGAAGCAGGTTTCCTCAAACAATTGTCTTTGTGCAGGTGAAAGCTTCGAAGCAATTGTAGTGGCTAGGCTAACTTTATTCCTTAAAGTCAATGAAGCCGAAAAAAATTTCTACAAAAACAATAAACATACCAAGTTAGATATACCAAAAACTACACTGTGAAGATATACCAAAAACAATAAACATAAAAATTAGTAGTTTATTCTTGAAACTAAAATTTGCAACACTGTTTTGTCTTTTGGTTGAAATGAAAATCGCAACGAGAGAATGACTGTCGCAACGAGAGAAATGAAAATCGCAACGAGAGAATCGCAACGCGAAATGAAAATCGCAACGAGAGAATCGCAACGCGAAATGAAAATCGCAATGCGATTTTGGTTTCGCGTTGCGATTTTCATTTCGCGTTGCGATTCTCTCGTTGCGATTTTCATTTTTCTCGTTGCGACTCTTCTGCAAATTGAAACTTGAATGGATTGCATTACTTCAACCAAAAGACAGAACAAAGACAAAGACAAATACTAACTTGAAAATCGCAACGAGAGAATAGCAACGCGAAATGAAAATCGCAACGAGAGAATCGTAACACGAAATGAAATCTAAGTGAAATGGTTAATCTATTATTGAAATGACCAGTAAACTTATCATCAGTTTCAATATGAAAAACCTACAATAATGCAAAAATTTCAAAATAAAAATAATTAAAAAAACTAACCCTCGGAGGTTGATTTTCCATTTCTGAATATTGTGAGGGATTTCTGACCGTGAATGGTTGTGAGGGATTTCGCCGGAGATGGGGACGAAAATCTTCAGAGATGGGGAAGGATTTCGCCGTAGAGAGTGAGAGATGGAGATGGGACCGAGTTGTGATTTTAGGTTTTAGGTTATGAGTTGCGATTACGAGATTTTGTCTTAATATTCGTTTTTGTAATTTGAAAATAAAATACGCGTAGCGATTATAATGGCGCTTTAAAAATCGCGTTGCGATTTACGGATACGCGTTGCGATTTTACGTATTGTCGTTGCGATTTACGGATACGCGTTGCGATATACGGATACGCATTGCGATTTACGGATACGCGTTGCGATTTACGGATACACGTTGCGATTTACGGATACGCGTTGCGATTTATGTGTTCGCGTTGCGATTCTGGAAAATCGCAATGCGAATTTGTACTATCGCATTGCGATTTTCAAGAATCGCGTTGCGATTTTGGAAACTGATTTGCGATTCTGGGGATCGCGTTGCGATTTTTATTTCGCGTTGTGATTTTGTTGGTCATTTTGGCAAATCCAAAAAAAGTTGGTTAAAATCGTATATTATAAGGCATTTTTTGTCACTGAGGCAATTTTCTCTTTCAGAATTTAATAATATTTACGTACTTTTCATAGATATATGTATTTTTATTTTTAGTACTATTATTAATTTTATCTTCCGAAATTCACATGCCTTAATTTTTTATTTTTTTTGTAAAATAATTACGCACTAATATTTTTGAACTTTAATTTTGAAAAAGCAACTTTTTCTTTCTTTTTTTAAGGTTCGAGTATAATTCGACATGGGAACTCTTCGAACTTCACCAACAATGGCAGCAACACTATCTCCAATACCACACCACCGGTGGTGCGGGAACAGGATCGATTCATGCCGATAGCCAATGTGATCCGCATCATGCGCCGCATGCTCCCGCCACATGCCAAAATATCTGACGTTGCCAAAGATGCCATTCCAAGAATGTGTCTCGGAGTTCATCAGTTTCATCACAGGTGAAGCCAACGAGCATTGCCAACTTCAGCAGCGCAAGACCATCACCGCCGAGGATCTGCTTTTTGCCATGGAAAAGTTAGGCTTCGACGACTACATCTAGCCCCTCACCGTTTTCTTGGTCCGGTACAGGGAGGCCGAGAATGGCTGGACTTCACTGCCTACCATCTTGAAACGTGGGATCGACCATGGACGAATGATAATTCCCCCATTTAACAGCTCAGCTTTCCAGGTGGGATTTCGCCAGGGGTTTATCGATGCCACCACCAGTGTCATCGCAGGTGGATACAATCGATATGCATCGGATGCTGCTGCTGCCACCGGATCATCTTGTCAGGCTCCGACAAACAACTTCGACTTCAAATGAGCTGAGATGAACTAGATAGGCAAGCAGATGAATTTTGTTTGTCTTACAAACAAAAACAAATAAAGCTAGAAAAAGGGTGGTAAAATAAAGTTTTTGTTTTCATTAATAGGGTGTTTTAATGGCATATTCGTGCTCCTAATCAATCCGGGTTCATTCGAAAAACTTTGAATCCAAACTCATCAAATTCGAATGTCTTAATACCTGACTTAACAGTAATGGTGATTAAGTTCAACCCATAGCTCGCATATAGATAAGAAACTGGAATTGTTGCACCTATATCTATGAAAACAAAACACTCCAGCAATTATAAAGAATGTTTCCTTTGATCAACAATGATCTTTTACATATAAGAATTAACGTTTACTAACCCAATCAGTTAGCCTATAGTCAATTGTCAACTGATTTCAGGTACAAATTCTGTTTTCCGATATAATCGATCACTTCATCTATGGTCAAATATTTTATAGACAATCCTCTTGAAATGCATTCCCTGAAACAAAAAAGAAGACCACGAGGGGATCTACATCAAAACTAGGCTCGAAAACGAAGTTGAGCATTATCTTTCAGTACTATAATAGCCCTAAACCCACTGTGTTTACCTCAATCTAGTTGAACTGATTTGATTCGGGACAAGCTCGTCGACGATTTTAATGTTATCCTGAAAGAAACAAAAAAAAAAAAATCAAATGACCCACAATCGATGAGACACACCTTTATCCCAAAAGAAACCAGCATGTATGACTTGTAGGACTCCAAAGTTCCTTTCCAGAGTTGATCAAAATCCAAATATCGTCAAGGATAACGACTGAGAATAAAGATCTTGATTCGCTTTGTATGAAAAACTGGAAAGAATTGAGAAATCCACTAACCCGGTTTTCATTCAAAATCTCATCACCACTGATGATATTTTCCAAATCTTGTCCTTCTCTACGAATGCAAACCACACCGTAATCTTTGCATATTGCTCTAACCTGAAATTTGATCCAAAATCCAAGGTTACCTTAATATAACATGCTAGAGTATGCTCTACGTATTATGTTTAGACAGAATGATATAGCCTTAATGCCATCGTCCTTTAACACCGATACAATAGTAGAAAATAATAAGCATGTACCTGCTCAGGGATCCAAAAGCCGGGAATGCTGAAAGATTGAAGTAAATCAGAACCACAAACAAGCATGACTTTAAGGGATTCTGCGAAAAGACAGAGATATCGTTATTGTATCTCCGCCGTAGGAGGAACATAGAGAAAAATCACATATAAACAGTAGTATTAACAGAATCCAATCTTTCCATTTAATAAAGTATCAACATATTCTGGCAAACTGATTATATTGTGTAGCTATATCTATCAAATTATGTGCATCGGTGAGTGTCTGTAAAATATATAAAGTAACGAAATGATGTAGTTGTAAGCTGCTGCTTGCATACCCTTACGTATCAGTCCACCTGTCGCAACCGTCTTTCGGTTGAGTCTCGGAATTGGGCTTCGACTTAGGAAAATGTGGATTGGAGTCGCCACCGACCACTTTAAAACGAATTTAGGTTGGTCGGACAACATTTTACCTGATCTATGTTGTACCAGAAACGTGTCGAGTTCGGGAGTCAGTTACGGTCAAGGAATGATTAGCACCCTTGAACCGCCCTTTCGGTACCACATAATTTTTAGTTGTCTTAAATTAAGAAAATTGTAATTTTAAATAAAAAGGTAAAATTTGATCCTGATTACTTACCTTAGATTGATTTGAAAATATCCTTAAAAAATCGAGAAATGTGTTAGATAAACAAGGTAAAGAAAACAAATAAGATAAAAAGAATAAAATAAAAGGAAAAAAATAAAATAAATAAATAAGATAAGGAAAAAAATAGTAAAGTAATAATTATATATAGTAATATTTGAAAAAGGAAAAAAAAATATAAATATATATACATCAAAGTATTAATAAAATAAATAAGCTATATATATATACAACAAATATTTAAAAATATAAAAGCTACCCTCTCACTTCACCGAAAGTGGGAGGCTTTAGTCAGAAATAAGACAAAAAAAGAAAAGTGGGAGAGACTTTAGTTAGAAATAAAACAAAAAAATGGGCCCTCTAAGTTAGTAATATATAATATAATGTTTAATAATAATAATGATAAAGACACTATTTTTTTTAAATAATATAATAATGAATAAAAAATAAGATATATAACGTAAATAAAGAAATAATCAAATAAAAATAATTAAGAATATATATATATTAATAATAGGTATATAAATAAACTATTAAAAGTATAAAAAAATATATAACTAGATAAAGATAATTACAATATATATAGTAATAATAGACTTATAAGTAAAATATTAAAGATATATATATATATATATAATAAAATATAGTAAAAAAATCAAATGAAAATAATTTAATATATATATATATATACGTATAATAATAACATGAATAATAAAAATAAATGAATAAAATATCTATATAATAAATAAAGGGACTAATATAGATTTTTAAAAAGCTCTTCCCCTCCTTTAACCGAAAAATCAAACTGGTTTTTCAAAATAAGCCTCGGGGAAGCGTAGACCTAAGAGAAAAGATCTCGGTTCCTTGCATTCATCGGCCCTTTCAAAGTAAAAACGGAAAAGAAGAAGTGAAACAAGCCACATGCAAGCGAGAATCGAAGTAATATAGGTAAATATACCTCTTTTATTTCTCTGTTGAAAATTACAAGCGAATCTTTGGGGCTTATTGCATATTTGCTTTGGGTATTTTTGTGTGTGCGTAATCCTGTATGATAATCGTGTCTTACAAATGGGAAGGATTACATGTATTTATAGTGAAAAAAACTAACTAACAATAAAATCCTAATGCAACTAGACTCCTTACTCGGTTGTTGCACATTTGTTGGTATGGTTGTTGCTTTAAAAGATATGGTGGTGGAAGAGTCCTCTTAGGAGATGAACTTTTGCTAGTTCTATCTTTTAAAAAAATTGGTGTCTACGGTTGCCCCTCTTTGTCTTTTTTCGTGGAACGAAAAATAGGACAAAGATAAAAAGACACAAATTTTCGTTCAGTGGAGTTGAAGAATAACTCACTGTCGAATTGAGTTGCGGATGGCTCCTCCGTCGCGAAGTCGAGTCCATCTTGAAATGATTTGAATCAGAATGTGACTTCTCGTTGTAGTCCACTTTGGTCTTCTTCTCGGTTTAAAGACCTTGGCTAAAAATTCGACTGGAAAGTAATCCCTTGACTCCACAATGTGGTTGATATGCTCTCGAGCTGAATGAAACTGAACTCGAAAAGTCTTCATTGACAAATAGCTTTTTTCGACTTAAGCTATGCTGACGGAAAAAATGCTTCTTGCTACTAAGGCACGGCTAACCCAGATCTTTTTCTCGGCTTGAAAACCTCGATTGTAGCCGGACAATAATGTGATTGAGGTGTCATCGAGCTGAATGGAATCGAACTCGACAATTTTCGCTGACAGATAGCCCTTCTTGCCTTGAGCTATGCTGTAAATTTGATTTACCTCTGAGCTGAATGTAATCGAACTCGAAGGTCTTTGATGATAGATAACCCTTCTTTGAGTTAGATATCATTCGTCGTGAAGTTGAAATCCAATCTAGAGATGGATGCTGCTTGTGTACACGATTCCCCTTCGTCGTGAAGTTGAAACCACGGGTAGTATTATTCCGAGTCCAATATCCTCTATCGTGAAGTTGAAATTGGCTCCGAAACTGGGAAATTGTTTGTTGACAACCAGCCGCCCCTTCGCTGTGAAGTTGAGCTTGTGTTGTCTCAAGTTCAATATCCTTCGCTGTGAAGTTGAAATTGGCTCTGAAATTGGGAAATTGTTTGTTGACAACCAGCCGTCCCTTCGTTGTGAATTTGAACTTGTGTCGTCTTGAGTCCAATATCATTCGTTGTGAAGTTGAAATATGCTCTGAAATTGGGAAATTGTTTGCTGACAACCAGCCGTCCCTTCGTTGTGAAGTTGAACTTGTGTTGTCTTGAGTCCAATATCCTTCACTGTGAAGTTGAAATTGGCTCTGAAACTGAAAAGTGGTTTATTGACAACCAACCGTCCCTTCGTTGTGAAGTTGAACTTGTGTTGTCTTGAGTCCAATATCCTTCGCTGTAAAGTTAAAATTGGCTCTGAAACTGGGAAATTGTTTTGTTGACAACCAGTCGTCCCTTCGTTGTGAAGTTGAACTTGTGTTGTCTTGAGTCCAATATCCTTCGCTGTGAAGTTGAAATTGGCTCTGAAACTGAGAAATTGTTTTGTTGACAACCAGCTGTCCCTTCGTTGTGAAGTTAAACTTGTGTTGTCTTGAGTCCAATATCCTTCGATGTGAAGTTGAAATTGACTCTGAATGAAACTGAAAAGTGGTTTGTTTGACAACCAGTCGTCCCTTCGTTGTGAAGTTGAACTTGTGTTGTCTCGAGTCCAATATCCTTCGATGTGAAGTTGAAATTGGCTCTGAAATTGGGTAATGGTTTGTTGACAACCAGTCGTCCCTTCGTTGTGAAGTTGAACTTGTGTTGTCTCGAGTCCAATATCCTTCGCTGTGAAGTTGAAATTGACTCTGAATGAAACTGAAAAGTGGTTTGTTGACAACCAGCCGCCCATTCGTTGTGAAGTTGAACTTGTGTTGTCTCGAGTGGCGCGATATCTTCCGTCGTGGAGTTGAAATCGCTGATGATCTCTTTATTGTAAAATTCAACTTTGAGCTAGATATCCTTCGTCGTGAAGTTGAAATCTACTCTCGAGTTGATTGTGTTGCTTTGAGCTCAATATCCTTCGCTGCGAAGTTGAAATTGACTATAGCTAAAACCTGAAAAAGTTATGCATATATGTGATGAGATGGATACAATGCTCTTAGGTATGCCTAAAATGCATATGCAACATATGTTATTTTTGGGCTCAGGAGAGAAATCTCGATCTCCGGTTGTTTTTCTGGAATCTTAGTTCTGTAATCTTCAAGTTCTGATCCTTGATCTCGAATTCTTCAAATGTTCAAATCTGATGTGCACATTCTATTTTTTTGATTTGAGAAATGCTTTCGACCATCCCAAGTATGTGCCTGAGCTGAGTGTAACGGTTCAGACGATGCTTCAAGAGAAATTGTCTCGAAAGAGACAGAATTCGTTTTAAGGGAAACGATCTCAAAGATATCTGTTGTTTCATGAGAAACAGTCTCAAGGGAGACAAAATTTTGTTTTAAGAAAATCTGTCTCAAGAGAGACAAAACTTAGTTCCAAAAGAAATTGTCTCACGGGGAGATGAAATTAGTTACAAGGAAAACATATTAAAAGATTTTGTTTCAAGGGAAACTGTCTCAAGAGAGACAAAATTCATTTCAAGGGAAATTTTTTCAATATTTATGTTTCAAAGGTTTTTGTGTTTCAAGAGAAACAATTTCAAAGGTTTTTTTCCAAGGGAAACTGTCTCAAGAGAGACAAAGTTTGTTTCAAGGGAAACTGTCTCAAGAGAGACAATGGTGAGCACTATTACCTTCGTCGTGAAGTTGAAACCGTGGGTGGCCCCTTCGCCGTGAAGTTGAGCCAGGAATTGGATATCCTTCGTCGTGAAGTTGAAATTCAACTTGAAAATACGAACTGGATCGGTTCTGAATTAGCTCTCGAACTCGTCTGAAGTTGATTCTAAGATCTGTCGATCTTTCAATATATCAAATTAGTTGAGGTGTAGCTCATTGTTACCGAGTTAAGCAATCACTATCGATTTTTACAAACTCTTTTGAATCAGGTATCTTTCGCATTGAAGTTGAAACTTGACTCTAAAGCTGCAAAAATTATGTATGCTAAAAATGATAAATGTGATGCTCTCAAGTATGTCTAAGACGCATGCAACATAAATTAATGTCATTTATATCTTGGATAGAGCCTCATTTTTACCTGCTTGTTCCTGCATGTGGAGGAAATGCCTTCAGAAGGTCTGATAATTCGCATTAGGATGTTGAATCCCCAAAGATGCCCCAATATCCAAAAATGCCCCAATATTTGATATTGAATCTTCAAAGATACCCCAAATGTTCCTCATTTCTTGCTTCAATATTGATTCTGAGCACGAGCTTTGTGTCTAAGAGTCACATGTCATTTACCAAGATCCACTCTAGAGAGACTATCTTGTTTGAAAAAAATATTTTTCTTTCTCTTTTATTTTCAAAGTTATGAAAATATCAATTAAAAGAGTTTCGAAAAATGTTTAACCAAAAGTTTTGAAAATATTGTCACTTTCACGGTTTTACAATTGAGACGAATCATAAAACTAGAGTTCATCGGATATTAAAGAATTAATTACAATGTTAATCCTTCAATAAATTATAGTTATTTGACAAGTGTCAAAATCAAAGCTATCTTTGGGAAATGGTTAAGTAAATAAAAAAGTCTCAGATTATCGTGTTTGCTCAAAGGATTGATGGGGTAGCTTGC